TGGCCCCGCGGCGCTGCAGACCAGGGCGTCTTGGACGCCCTCGTCTGCTTCCCCCCTTGGATAGTCACATTTATATAGTTTCCTCAATACAGTTCAAGTATGGGTGAGTTTATGTTTTGCACAATAATCTCGCTCACAATGTTGTCACCACACTCTCCAGCAAAAAACGAGGAAGGGCATGTGTGCTTTCACATTCAAGCTAGTCTGAAATAAAGCCACATATTTCCTCATAAAAAGCAACTCTCTCTTAACATCTCTCCCAGAAAGATGATATTAAAACAACCAGGAAGATAATCTCTTAAAGGATAAGTAGTACAGGAAATGTGCTGCTACTACTACTACAAACTGGCATGGCATTATAGGAAATGTACTACTAATACAAATGTGTGTAACAATTTGCCTTACCATGTGATTTATAATGCATTTTTACTGTATGAACCCTGAGCCACTGGATTAGATCCAAAGCTGCCCTTCTGCTTATGAAAGTTATCTTCTGCTCACAGAAATCCTGTAACTCAGTGTCAAAGCACACGTTTTGCACACACAAGACCACAGGTTCAATCCCAAGTAGAGCAAAGTAGGACAACTCCTGCCTGAAACCTAGGAAAGAAACTGCCAGTCACTGTGTATGGAATGCTGATCCAAATGGACCAATGGGCTAACATGGTGTAAAACTGCTTTCTATGTTTTCCTAACACTCTCTTATACCTTGAACTAGAACTGTGTGAAAATAGCAAAACAAAATCCAAAAAGATTGCTAAAATTTCTTGTAAAGCAGTTTCTTCCATAGGGTGGTAGCGCTGGAACCCAATATAGAGCCTACCTATTACAGCAATGCATGAATTCTTAAGCATTTGCAGAACAGAACTAGTGACTTTCTCCCTTTCACTCAAGTTTATTTGGATCCAACTCTATGCTACCCTGAATTCCAAGTTACAGACAGAAAATCAAGGCTGAAAAATGCCATCTTCCCAAAAGACATGGTAATTTAGTGGGATAAATTAATCGAGCTACTAGGATCCAGTGCATTTCCCATATGCTGAAGAGCTTTCCCATTACTTCAGTGGCAGAAGGAGACCCATATGTTCATGCCACTTGCATAATTCATCAGGAAATACAATACAACAATACCAGTATCTATTAGTGATTAGTGTGCAAAATGGATCTTAGTTTTCCCAATTCTTCAAAATGTTTTATTGAGATGCCCTATAGATCTTGAATAGGAATAAAAACAATGAAAAAAAGAATAACTGATGCTACTGGCAATTCTTGTTTAGAACACTCTGCAGCATCCTTGTGCTCACAACCTTTTCACAGTGAAAAGAGAATGTTATACAACCAAAAGTGGGCTTCTGGCTTCAGGGGCTGATGTGGCCTACAGTAAGTCCCAGGAGGAGAGGGGTTGCTCTTACAGTTTCTAGCACTTTTGCTTTTAGCCTCTGAATAGTTTGGGATCCAGCAACGTGAGGGACTACATGCTTCTGTATTATGCCCTGCCTATGCTCTAAGGCAGTGGTCCCCAACCTTTTTATTGCCGTGGACCGGTCAACGTTTGATAATTTTTCCGTGGCCCACTGGGGGGGGGGGTTTGCGGCGTCACATTTACTAAAGCCGCGCACAGAAGCCCCGCCCCCACGCTGATCAGCTGGGCCGGGGCACGTCGGCAGATGCAGGAGTCCCGTCCCTGCGCTATTATCGGGATTCACAGGACTCACAAAAGTTGCAGGACCCGCCGCCGCCGCTGCACAGAAGACGCAGTAGCAGGGCGGCCCAGTACCATTTGTTCTGCGGACCGGTACCGGGCCGTGGACCGGGGATTGGGGACCACTGCTCTAAAGGCATCTGCTGATGTACTTCTCCAACTGCTGCTTCAACCTGAAGACTGATGAAAACTTATAACAGGACCTTTTCAGTTGTTGTGCTCCAATTGCTGAATATCATTGCACAACAAACATTTTAAGCTTTTAGGAGTCAGGCTCTGCCTTTTTCATTTGCTCATGCATTTGAAATATTGGTATTGGAAGCCAGCATGGTTTAGCGGTTTGAGTGTTGGACTACTACTCTGGAGACCAGGGTTCGATTCCTAGCTTGGCCATGAGACCCACTGGGTGACCTTGAGCAAGTCACACCTTCTCAGCCTCAGGAGAAGGCAATGGCAAACATCCTCTGAACAGATCTTGCCAAGAAAACCCCATGATAGGGTCGCCTTAGGGTCACCATACCTCAGAAATGACCTGAAGGCACACAACACACACATACATCTGCTTCTTGTCAATGATGTTTTTTTGTGTATTTTAATTATATCCAGATGTTGTATTCCAAAAGACTATAAACCACACTGGAATACATTTTGAGGAAGTGTAATATATAAATATTTTATATTACTGAAATAAAAAAGAACAACATTTACCAAATAATAGTGAGTTTTGCTTAGGACCCAAATATTACAAACATACGTACAAGGAGATGTCCCATGGTGTCCAGCTTCCTCCTCTTCAACCATCTTCTTTTGAAAATCACTGAGATCAGTCTGTAGCAGATCACTGACTGCAGCATGAATCAAAGATGCTGCAAGCAGAGGTGGTGCATTCCTGATGAAAAAAGAAAGAAAAGATACTGAAATGGGCTGCATGAAGTAAACAAGACTAGGAAAGTCACTTTTTTGGCAATTCATGTCTAAAACAAAGTAACTTCTGTTCCCTCATAGCAAAACAAAGACAAAACATTAAAAAAAAACCCGCAAGAGGGCAATTTATTTTATGATATAAGATTTCTATCCTGTACTTTAGCCAAAAAGGCACCCCAAGTGAATACAAAGAGAAGTAGTATGTAGGTTCCTATTCTCAGGATTACAATCTAAACAAAATACCTGATATACAAGGAAGAGGGGGAAGGAAAAAGCCAGTAGAGTTCTTAGGAGTTTATCACACGGGGAAAATCCCATGCAGAAACGGGATTTAAAAAGTGGGGGAAACCCGCAAAAGCAGGCAGATTTTCACACACATTGCTGTTAAAATGTGGTTAACCCGAATGGAAAGTAGTCAAGAAACTGCTTCTTTTTACTTTTGGGATTTTCCAAAAGTAAAAAGAAGCAGTTTCTGACTACTTTCCGTTCGGGCTAACCCCGTTTTAACAGCGACGTCATTTTAAAATCTGCCCGCTTTTGCGTTTTTGTTTTTTTTAAATTTAAAACCCTGTTTCTGCACAGGATTTTCCCCGTGTGATAAACTCCTTAGAATGGAAGCAGTTCAGGTAGCCAGTTGGAACAGCTGCCACTGGCTAAATGAAAGCTGAAGGAGGGACAAAGACAGCTGGTCTCAATAGTGGCAATAGACTATGCCTATGGCTTGGGTCAGATCTGATGTCAGCCTGTTTTGATATTACATGAATGATCTCTGTGCTCATATACTCTGTGCTCATATACTTTCTCCCCTTGAACAATGCAGTCCTCCTTTTTTGTCAGCAAAACATAACTTCTGATTATGTGCAAACCAGGCAAGTTAGGTTTGCTTGCAAATTAGAAACAGAAATCATCCTTTATGCCTCAAAGGAAAGAGAGAATCTGGCTGCACCCATGTGGCTAGATACTGTATTTCTGCATCAGATGCAGTGACAGGGGAAGCTTCTCAGTGAAAGCATGAACCAGTCAAGGGCTGGCATGGGGATGGCTGTGTGAACATCCACCCATCCCCATGCTGACCCAGGGACCAACCCAGCTGAGCACTGGGGCCAGGATAGACTTTATAAGACAGTGTTGTGCATCCTCAGTGGGTCCTGGCCTATCTGCTCAGCCCGTAAGAAAGCAGCCCCTAAGAAAAATTCAAAATATCTCAACACATCTGCTATGTCCCACCTGCATTTTAAGACTTTATAAGACAGTGTTGTGCGTCCTCAGTGGGTCAGGGAGGTAGTCTTGTCCCCAGGACACCTATGGGATGCACCATCAACTACCAATGAAACCAGAGGGCTACTCTCAGTTTAGTGCCCCTTTGCCTAAAACACGGGCTTACAGCTATAGGGCTGGAGACTTTAAGTGTCAGTACTTTGAAAAAAGGAATTTTCCAGACACTGCACAGTATGTTCCAAATGAAGTTACATGAGCACTTTGTCAATCAGCAAAATTAGTGTTTGGTTTAAATACAAAATACCACTGTTTCCACTTATAATTTTCAGGGCAAAAGTAGTGTTTCCCTGCCTGCATCTGGAGGAACTGGCATGAAAACACCATATATGAATACTACAATTTCTAAATAAATTCTGCCAGATTAGTTCAAAATACAGTAATAACCCCTTCATTGTCAAAAATCTGAATATATTCTAAGGTTCAAAGCAGTAGTTATTACAGCTTATTCTATACCTCTAAGAAAATGTATTTAATTTAACATATACCATCCAGTTTACCCTTGAAGCTCTTTACCCCATTCATGCACAATTCAAGAGAGGTCTTTTCAGTTCTTACCTAATTCTAAGTATTTCCTGTTATTCTCCTTCTCCCCCCACAACTATGTCCTGCATCAGAACTGTTATGGAAACAACAGCATCCTTCTTCCTCCCAGAATTTCCTACAGGACACAATCTACATCTCTTTGTGTTGAGTAATACTTGGTTTCCTTTTTGGAAAATGAAGTGGAAACAATGTAGACAAAAAGAATCAGACCTTGCTGATAATTTTAAACAGTGGCTTTATTCTTCATGGGACGATTGTGCTAGGCACAGTACAACATTATCACACTGATATTCCATCATGGAAACATAGCATAACTGCATGGGGCTAGGCATGTTAGTGGACCACAAAGAACTAAATAAAAGTATGAGCTTAAAAAAAAGTTAGAAAATTGCTGAGAACTAGCAGAGTAGGGATATATGTTCCTACAGCATCAACTCCAACCCCAAAACAAGGAAACTGGACAAAGGAGATTCTGTCTTCATTCACTTGAAACAGCCTCACAAATGGGAAAGGATGAATTTGCAGGGGATAACCAAGAATCATAGAATGATAAGATCATAGAGCTGGAAGAGACCTCAAGGGCAGGGCAGTCCAACCCCCTTCTGCCATGCAAGAACTCACAATCAAAGTACCCCCAACAGATGGCCGTCCATCCTCTGGTTAAAGACCTCCAAAGAAGGAGATGCCACCACACTAGCATGTTCGGCTGTCAAACAGCTCTTACTGTCAGGAAGTTCCTCCTAATGTTGAGGTTGAGAATCTCTTCTGTAGCTTGCATCCATTGCTCCGTGTCCTATTCTCTGGAGCAGCAGAAAACAAGCTTACTCCCTCCTCAAGATGACATCCCTTCAAATACTTAAACAGAGCTATCATGGCACCCCTTAACTTTCTCTTCTCCAGGCTAAACATCCCCAGCTCCCTCAGTCTCTCCTCATAGGGCATGGTGGTTTCCAGACCCTTCAACACTTTGGTCTCTGCCTGTCCTTGCCAAAGCCAATCCGTATTTATTACTGCTGGGGGGGGGGGAACCACAGATTTGTACTTTGCGTATTGCTGTGCATCAAGAAAATATATCATATGCCAACAGATTTAGACAGTAGGATTATTTTTTTCCAGTTAAACAAGAGAAAAAACTACTTTCAGGATTTAGTTTGAAGCGTAATTCAGAGATACTGGGGCCCAATTGTACATCTCTTCTGTTCATCCATTAATGAGGACTATTGTTAGCACATTTAAGTTGTCTGGAGAACACAATGCTTATGACCATGCTCTCTCCCCCCTCTCCTGCCATCACCAAGCCAGCCCTCCAGAACAACAGGCATCTGGTAACACTGAGCATATTGTATAATTCTCTGTGTGTTTACTAAGAAGTAAGCCCCACTGGGTACAGTAAAGCAACCCGGATGGATCTGTTGTCCAAAACCATTAAACCAAAATGCCACAGGCAAGTCCTCCTTTGCAGAAAGGAAAACACAGAGGAAAGATCTGACAGGGTCACTTGTAATTATGGGGGGCGGGGGAACCCTGATCAAGCCATCACACCTTAATTTTTATAAACCACCTCGGAGAAATGTTTCTGGCAATGATCTGACTGAATGATACCCACTTGTTACTCACAGAAAGCGCCATGAGTACAGAGTCTCAAAAGTGGCACGCTTTGTTGGCAAGGGAGTGTGCCACTCCCTCCTTAAGAATTCTTGGGGTGAAAGAAGAGTAATAAAATTGGAGGAGGCTTGACAGTTTGAGCCCAGAGGATTATGCATCCCTGAGATGCAGTCTCTCCAACTAACACTAGCTTCGGGGCAAGTATGCAAAAAATGCAACCGCTGACATGTTAGGCTCTTGCATTAATACCAAGAGTGACAGCTGGGATAAAAAAAAAAGGCTGCAAACACAGCATGAACTCTACTACTATGGAGATCATTCTCCCCTAACCTAGCACCCTCCAGATGTTTTAGTCTAGAACCCACTGGTATGAGAATCGATGCCCAAATGTCTGGCAGGCAAGTTGGGGAGGCCCTTGGAGGTCTGAGCTTCATTCTGATGCTGTATTAATGTATCTTTATGTAAATTTAATGTTGTAAGCCGCCCCGATTGCTCTACAGAGGGGCAGGATATAAATTATTATTATTATTATTATTATTATTATTATTATTATTATTATTATTAAAACAGGAGCTTTTATTAAAGCCTTTCAGCCTAACGTTTCCATCCAAATCAGGACATCTGTATGATTTTAAACTGTTCTAAATTTGTAAATTGTTACAGTATTTAATATGGCTTTCGGCATTTTTAATGTTTTAAACCTTTT